CTAGAGTCAGTTGATGCATGCCCAACATATCATCGGGCCAGCAGCAGCACATGTGCGTGAATGATTGTATAGAGCTAGGGAAGAAAGATAGGTATTAGGGCTGTACATAACAGTTTGGTGCACTAGTTAGGCTGTGTGGGACACTCGCTTTAGACAAATACATTTTGTTAGGATCAGGTCTCCAGGCATAGAGAGGGTTTTTTGCCGCCCACCCCATAGGCTCGTCTACGTTATTACCGCTTACCATGTCATACACTCACCAAAAAAGTCATGCAGAAGCTGTCACGTCCACGGTGGCTTGTAGAATACGCAACTGGCTTTGGATCCTGTTGCAGGCATTAGAGTGAACTCAAGATATCCCATACATTTTAGGTACTGCACAACGAAATAATGCGGAAGCGGTGTTGACGTCCGCTGGGTGGTCAGGTGGTGTGGATTGACAGTGCTCTAGCGGCCACGCAAAAAGTGAGCTATTGGTTTGGAGCAATCAACCAGGCACATGAGAATTGATGACTCCTCTGTTAGTTGCTAATAGATGGTGTGAGTTTAGTCGTGCAGTATCAGTGCGGGATTCGCATAATATAATCATGGAAATATATACAAAAATACACGGACACATCATGGACGGTTGCTCTGTATGCTTCTCATTTAAAATGTTTTCGTGCACTCTGCCCTGGACAGGCAAGGAGAGGTACAGACCGTGGGAGAAGTGCGAACATCGCGTGAGGGCCAAAACATTTTGAACTTGAGCACACATGAATCTTGAACAGAGTTCGTTTAAAGGTACGCTCTGGGAAGAGTCAGTGGAGGACTTTCTGCGTTCGCATTGCTCTTTCGGCGGAATGGGTGAGTGCAAAGCGAACGCTTTAAACATTCCATGCGCTTTCTCAGTTGGACGGAAGCAACATATCACGGGCATTTTTGCTAATCCAGACACCACAGAGAGCTTTGCACCTATTAGCCTGCATCACGAATGCAGCAAGGCGTAACACGTGTGCACAGGCTACGGCAAGCTCTATGCAGAGTGTGTTAGAACCCGTGGTTTTTGAATGAGACATCGCAAGAAGATAAGGCTGAGTCGCAACTCTGAAGAGTTGTAGTAGTTGCAATAGCTGTTCTAGTATTCTTCTGCAACTCAGCAGTTGTTCACAGAGCAGTATGTTCTGTTGAAGTATGTGGAGATGCTGCACAGCAGTTTTGGCACATTTCCTGTTATCATTTCCGCTCCTTTGATTTTTCCGCTGTCGTACCCGCTGTGCATAACTGCTGCTCTGTACCAATGGGTGAGCGTGGCCGTGGACACATACAGGCAGCCAGATCCGTTGTGTGATGTTCACAGCATCACGACTGGGGTGACAGCTTCCAAATAGCCTACCGAGAAGAGCACAAGCTCGTTCCCCACTTTGCAGATTAGGAGCAGCCACTGCCCAGTGGAGCAAGGCGTAAGCCAAGTATGTTCCATGTAGAATACCCTTCCAGGCAGTCAATTCTCCTGTGTTGAAATTTACTCTGTGTGCGTCTGGTGAATCTTCTCGGGGTTCACTAATCTGCATACTTGAGTCAAGCGCACCATTAGCGCGAAGTGAGGGAACGGGCTGTTGCATGTCGTCTACTGCTATGTTCTGAAGACTGTGGACGAATGAGAATGCCTGAGAACATATCGCCATATAAACCCAATTATGCTAAATATTTCATGACACCCCCTAACATCCGTAGAACTACTTGTACTGCTAAATGTGGACGTACATCCTGAATCCACTTTACCGCTGCCCAGAAAAGAAACAGGCGCCTCAAATTCGCTGTTCCCGATTTTTCGATCTGTACGCAATAAACAAAAATTTCCAGCCCTTCGTAGATTTTCAGAAGACCCACGGCTGTGCAGAAGCTAAGACGTGGCGGTACAACAAAGAGGGCAATAGAGCTAACCGCTTGTAGGAATACTGGCAAGCATCTCGCGAGCTGAGCGGCTTCACCTAGCAGCTCTGCAACAGGCGCCCGTGGTTGCAGGTCTGTGTAATCTTGAAGACCATTATCCGCCTCTTCGACTGCAATATTTTTGTCAAAATGTAAGCTTCTGCGTGAGGTATTGGAGCCTTTGATAGACGCTGCATCATCCACAATAGTAATCGGTTACAACAATAGACATTTTTTCCGCCCAACTTTTGTTGTGATTTAGCTTCGCAAGATAGGCGTAGCTTTTGTCCGGGAGGTAGGGATCCTGTGTGCTGCAACGACGATGCCGTCGTCTTTAATAACTGACGAGTTACGTTGGCAGGGCTCCGTCGGCAAGAGAAGCAGTGGCCTTTTGCCTCAGTGCACTGCAACAGAGGAGTAACCACAGCGAGAGCCCGTCCTTCATAAACAATGCTGACACGTGACCTTGTGATGATGAGGCAGTTACCGCCATTTTATTTTGTGTGTAAGGTCTCGCTCTTCCATATGAATTGTCACTTCCCTATTACTCAATGCTAGTCTTGCATTAGCGGTAGCGTTCTTAGACCGCGTTGCAAGCATCTGGAAGTGCAGTATCGACGCATACTTGTGCCCATAATACTCAACGGCTGATGCAGTATACTGAGAGACTGCTTACAACGTGTTTTCTTTGGCACTGCTTCTAAAACCACAGCTTCACCTAGTGTGACTGCAAAACCGTGAGAGACTGCTTACAAGGTGTTTTCTTTGGCACTGCTTCTAAAACCACAACTTCACCATAGTCTGACTGCAAAACCGTGAGAGACTGCTTACAAGGTGTTTTCGCCACTGCTTCTAAAACCACAACTTCACCTAGTGTGACTGCAAAACCGTACCTGTTTCTCGGATTCTACCAATCCGCTATTCCCTAACGCCGTGGTCTGCCGCAGTTGCCGGGCCGGACTCCTCCCAGACGCCGTAACTAATTTAAATGTATCTGCTATTATTGTTTGATTGACGCACAGAAGCCGTTCTGCTGTTGCTTTTGCCACTCGTCCTGCTCCGTGCAAGTGAATATCCATACCACTTACAGCCCAAAACAGACCACGTAGTGCTTCGCTCACTTCAGACCCTGTTCTGGGCATTTTCGCCTCTTTTCGAAAGAAAATTGCATCAAAACATCAACAATACGTGAAAATTCGTCCGGCGCTTCAAATGAAAAAATATTATCCTGTGACGCCGTGATTTGTTATTGTAGAAAGGCACGCCGAATATAGCAAACTAAGTGCACGGAACGTTCGGACTGGATGCAAAGTACAGCATCCATTTGAGGTGTTGGTGCGAATTATAACTAAACGAAAAACACATTAATGTATATGATCAGGTTGACATATTTCAAATGACGACAATAAGAACAGGTGCTCACTATTTAAAGAGCGTACCCTTCATTGGCACAATCATGGTAGCTCGGCCAGCCCTCACGCACGTACGTTACTTGGCTCATTCCTCTTCCAGATATTTTTGTTCAAGATTTTCTTATAAAACAGGAAAACAAAGAACAGCAATACACTATAAACTATGGAGACGAAGAATACGGCTTGCTCCACTAAAGTGTGGAGGGAGGAACAACAGCAGCATATCACATGGGTTCCCATGAGCAACCCCAGGGATTTGGTTTTGTAGAAGTCAGCAGGTCAACTCAGTACTCTGCTTCCGCGTCAAACTCAAAGAGTACGCAGTTGCCTTGCTGGGTGTGACGCTGAAGCAAGAAAATCACATCTGCTGTGTCTTCCTGAAAGCCTGTGGGTAGCCTGGGCATTCAGCTGCAGCTGCAGCCGCTGCGGGATTTGCTGCTGCTGCCTCTGAGGGATTTGCTGCTGCAGCCGCTGAGGGATTTGCTGCTGCAGCCGCTGAGGGATTTGCTGCTGCAGCCGCTGAGGGATTTGCTGCTGCAGCTGCTGCGGGATTTGCTGCTGCAGCTGCTGCTGTGGTATCTGTTGCTGCAGCTGCAGGTGCATCTGCTACCGAAAACACTAAATAGAGCTAACGAACTACAGTTGCTGCTCAGGCACCAATTTTTGGAACCGAGGGGAGAAAATAGTTCATCGTGCAAGATTACGTCTCTTGTGGAGCACATCTGTACTATGGTCCAGGTGTGACATGCTGGGCTTGTACCCAGATGGGCAAGCATGCAAGCTACGGCAGGTTTAACATAACTCATGTTCTCTAAAGATAAGCTGAAAGTAACTGGATTTGGAGAGTAAACGGACCTAAGGAGTAAACTTGCAAAACTTGTGATGGTTTCTGGAGGAGCACAATCATGACCGTTTTTACAGGGATGGCAGGGGGAAAGGCTAGGGGAGCGACTAGGTCACATAGCACGCACGTTCTGCCTGCTAACGCCAGTGCCACGCTCAGGACCATATACATAGAGTAAACGGACGGCAATACTCGAATGTGGGAGTTAGAATGCTGGGGAAGGTACAGGTACACGGCGCATGTCCTGTTGTAATGTTCAAGATCACAGAATTCGATACTTCCAGAACAGGAAGAATCCCATTCTACGTTAAAGGCACAATTGCAAATACGCTCCTAGCGGTCAATCTGGTTATCTTAGCCAGTCTGGTTATCACTTACAAGATCGTAGAATTCGATACTTCCAAAACATGAAAAATCCCATTCTACGTTAAAGCCACAATTGCAGAGAGAGGTTTAAGTTGTAGAACATCTGTTAGGACCCGAAAGATGGTGAACTATGCCTGAGTAGGGTGAAGTCAGGCGAAAGCCTGATGGAGGCTCGTAGCGATACTGACGTGCACGTCGCTAAGGAAATGATTCCACAGAACTGCAGATGTTCCCAAGCTGGATGGTACTGTACCCTCAAAGCCCCAATGGTTCTGGAACTCCAATGTATATCTAAGCGTACACTAGCAATTGTACACTAGCAGCCGTACACGTGCAAGTTGTTAAGTTTAGCATTAGTCCCCAAATCCGAAATCGTGAATTGATGTTCAAGCCTTAGACAGTGGCACACTAACGCTTGCTGTCTTCCGGCCTGCCCGAAAACTGATATTGCAACTGGCACCAAGTTACTCTAGTTCAGGCTTCTTGGGTTTCTTTAAGGGTTGTGTGGTGGGACCTTTGGTCATCAGCGACCTATGGATGTGTGGTATGACACCACCACCCGCTATCGTTGCCTTAATCAGCGTGTCCAACTCCTCGTCACCTGCAAACAAATGTAAAGAAGATATAGCTTAAATGTGCGCAGTGCGCAAAATACCACAATTGCCTGGGGTTTTCGGAATCTCACCACGAATAGCAAGTTGTAAGTGACGAGGCGTAATTCTCTTGACCTTCAGATCCTTCGATGCATTTCCAGCCAACTCAAGGACCTCTGCAGTGAGATATTCCAATATTGCAGAGGCATACACAGCAGCTGTGGAGCCAACACGGCCTGCGCACAGAACAAAACACACAGTAGTGTCGATGTCAACAGCACATCTACATATGATGTGACCAGTTAACACATAATTCAGAGGGAAATCAACAGCCTCCCAGAGTACAAACATACAAAACATAAGTAGTGGCAAAACGCTGTCCCTACGGCTCTGAACTCGGCGATTCCGGTCCACCTCAAACTGCACTGACTGTAACGAGGACATGCCTCAGGCAACAAAGCAGAGTATCTGTGCTTTTGAGCAACACTTCCACAAGCTGGCTGATGTGTCGAGAGATGAGCCATGGATATCGATGCGCAGACACCGTGTACAACCTCCCCTGTCTGCCCCGCCAACCACGCATGGGAGCCGCCTTCTCTCCAAAAAGCCTAACTCCATACTATATAATCCCTCACCAGAACGACAAAGTAAAAATATAAATAAACCAAGCAACAAAGGAAAGACGAAACTATAGCCCCGCTGTGAACCCTTCACTATATACAAAGGGGTGGGCACTTGATGAGCACGGGGGCGGCCGGGGGTGGC